TGCCGTTGATGAGGGGTATTGGGTGAAGAGCACCCCGGGGTCGGCTGGTAGGGGTCGCTCTGGGAGTCGGAATGACTGAACAGACCGGAGTGGCGCCAGGCTCTCCCTTGTGTGTGTGTGAGGAGCAGCGGGGTGTTGTAATGGTACAACCCTGTAGCTGCTAGGATCTGTGAGAATCCCAGTGAATCTGTTTTATGCAAACAGATCAGTTGCCATGACTATCCAAGTAGCGGCAAATTCACATGATGTCACCTTGGTGGCGAGGGAGAAACCAAAACACAGAAACGTCTAATTTAGGACAATGCAAAGCAGGACTATCAACATAACACCCACAAATCAGAGATACTGGTAATGTCTTGGTTAAACACACTATATTTAAAAGAACAGTTCAATTTAAAAATACAATTCTAACATTTCCTCACCCTTACGTCGCTCCAAACCCGCATGACTTTTTCTGTCCTTCTCTCTTTCTCCTTTTATGTTCCAAGAACGTTCATGCTACTCTTTTCCATTCAACAAAAGCATGACAAGGGGCTGCCTGGATACACCATAAAAGCACCATAAAAGTAATCCATACAACTAGTGTGTAGCATTCCAAGTCTTCTGAAGCTCTTCAATTATTTAAGACTTAGCAATAACATTGTTCATTGATCTCATAAATCCATTTCAATGCTTTGCAACCTTAAACATTCAAGTTTTCTAAGATGTTGTCTGCATTGTTGTTGCGGATTCTGCCTGCAAATGTCACAGAGATAATGCAGACGGCCAACATAAATTAGGTTTTGCCAAAATCGCTAAAACAACTCATAATAATCTTGAGATATCAGTTTGATTGTGATGAAAATACAAACCAATCAGTGATTTTTTTTTTCTCCATGATATGCCATTTTCCAACATTTCTGTATGTTAGGCTATAATAGCTGTGTAATTTTAGCTTGTTACTAATTTTCTTTTTGAAAAGAAATATATTTGTGAAGAAAAATGAAAGGAAAACAACATTTAACAACACAGCAACAATAAAAAGGTATTACTTAGGAAATGTATTTATTTATTATTCATTAATTCATTGTTATGTTTCATATAATGGGCCAGTGAAAATGTTGCCAAGGCAAGTAAAAATTGGGAAAAGTAATTTAGAGTATTTTTTGGGAATTGTTAAAGAGCAGTGTGAGCATTCTTCTTTTGTGTAAAAAGTCATTAAGGATTGGAACAATACAATTAAGTAATGTGTTTACTATGTGTCTTTTATTATTATTATTATTATTATTATTTCCATTTTGGGGTGAAATGCCCTTTTCATTTCTATGTATGGAGTCAGGAAGAGTCATTTCTTATGCTTAGACACAACTACATGTAAGATTCATGATATCACATGCAGTTGTGTCTAAGCATAACATATTATTCCCATTTTGACGTCACACAGCCTTTAAAATTTAACACTTCAGCCTCGACAGTAAATGTGTGAGGTGGGAACTGGGGCACCCTGAGTGTGTTTTATTCTGTGTCTATGGCCCAGTTTGGAAGTTGCAGGGTTTGCCCCAGGTCAGGGCTAGGCTCAGTGGGAACCAGCTGTTTCAGACTTGGTGAGACGGCGGGTTAGCCAGGAGGGAGTGATGAGCCAGTCATCAGGGCTTACCCTGCCCAGCTGTGCCACCGAGCCTGGCAGACTCGCACCTGCCCTTAACCTGCCATGCAATAACACCAATGCATTGCACACACCTGCTTTTTCTTTCCAGCATCCTCTGTCCCTCGGTAGTGCGCTCTGGCCAATGAGGAAGAGGCAGGACTAAGCCATGTCCCCCCAGATCTGATCTGCTGTGTGTGTCTGTAGCTCAGGAAATCACATGCACTTCGACATTCAGCTGCAAATCTTTCAGTGTATATTTTTGAAAGAGTCAGGCTAGAGCAGCTTCCACCCCTCCATCCAACCCCCACTCAGGCTAATTCTCTCTGGCAGGGAGACCTGTAAAAATCAATTGGGAAAATGTCCTGAAACAGTCAATCTAGCAACCATCTGCCCCGGTACTCCACTGAGACAAAAACCAATGTCCCCTGGGAAAGTGACGGAAGACACAGACAGCACAACGCACATTCAAACTCAATTACTCGCTGCAACTAAAACACTCTTTCGCATTGCAAAATCAGGCTTACACTTTTCTACTGCATGTCACTAATTGCAAGGTAGTGTTTACAATTATCTAAACATTTGATTTGGTGTTTGTGACAACAATGTTGGTGTGTTTGCAGTTTCAAATTTCAAGCAATCTTTCTAACATACTGCAGTGCAGAACTAATTTAAAATGTTTATATTTTTAAGTGAACGATAAACCTGTGGTTTGGCAGGTTGTTATGCTATCAAAACTTAATAACTGATTTAATGTAGCATTTGCTTTGTTCATCAAACGTAATTAAACTATTCTTTATCAAGGCATTTTCTCCCACTCAGTCCACAAATAAATGTAATTGCCATATGTTACTAATTCATTGTAAAATGAAAATGTTCAATTTCCAATGTGATGGTGGCTGCTTCTTGTAAAACAAAGAAGCAAAATCAGTACTGTTGATTAGTCATCGTCCCCTGCAAAACACACCAAAAATGCAAGACCCACAACTAAAAAAAATATGGTGTGTATGTATACACACACACACACACACACACACACACACACACACACACACACACACACACAAATGGCCATTAAATTGTCTTAACCATAAAGTATTGATCAGGCAATTGACTAAATTTAATCAAATTTACATAAAAAGCCATTGCTGTCTCAGAAGAACATGAAAGACAGAATTAAGTTTTTGTCAGAATTTGGGAATTTAATGATGAATCAAAAATGAAACACGAGTTGCATGGTGATATAAACTGGATCATCAGAATGCTGTCTTCTAGCGTCTGGTTAGTATATAATAATTAATGCATCTCTCCCACAGTGAAGCATGGAGGAAGAGACTGTGTCATTGTGTGGGGAGCCTTTTTAGCTGCTAGTATTGGTGAGCTGCTTCACTGTGAAAACTCATTGAAAGCTTTGGAGTACAGGAGAATATAGGAAATATAGGAATAGGAAAAGTTGTCATCAAAAGATGATCAGATGTTATTTTTATAACAAGACAATGCTCCTGCTCAAATTGCAAAGCCAACCAATAAGTGGCTTGACAAGAAGTCCATCAGGCTCATGTTTTGGCCTATTCAGAGTTCAGAGTAGAACCATAGATATTTAAAAAACAAAATGGAAGGCTATTCCATGCTACATTGCTCAACAGTATTTGTAAAATTCTTGCTAATTTACCAGTGATTTGTAATCAAAAGGGTAAACACCAATATATATATATATATATATATATATATATATATATGAAGAGTTCAGATGCAAAAGCCTCTAAGTGCCATTTTAAATGTTCTTCTAAAATGATCATTTTTATCAGCTTGTATATTTAAGTTCAGTAATTTCACTTAAATGGCAATGAAGATTACCTATTAATTGTCATTTAAGTGAAATTACTGAACTTAAATATACAAGTTTGATAAAAATGGCCATTTTAGAAGAAAATTTCAAATTGCATTTAGAGGCTTTTGCATCTGAACTCTTCATATATATATATATATATATATATATATATATATATATATATATATATATATATATATATATATATAGCCTCATTCTACATAGTTGATTTGTATATCGTCCTGTATAAAGCTAAAAAAAAAAACAGCAAAAGAAAAACCTACTTGTGAAGTATGTTATCCCACAGTATGTGAAGTATGTTATCCCACACTTGTATGTTCTGTCAGAATTTAACATCACAAGTCTGTTTAGTTTTAATGCACAAAAAATAATTTTCAATCTATTCATTTGTGTTAATGAGACTTCAGAGAGCAAAATAAATTTTACAAAACAACAAAAAAGGAGAACTAATATCCATGCTCTCAGTGTTGTCAATTTAATATGGTTTATCCATATTTCAAAATAATTAAAGGATAGTACACAGTCCGCCATTATCAGGGGAAAGGCCAGACAGTTGATCAGGATAGAGAGAGAGAGACAGAGAGAGATAGAGAGAGAGAGCGAGAGAGAGAGAGAGAGAGAGAGAGAGAGAGAGAGAGAGAGAGAGAGAGAGAGAGAGAGAGAGAGAGAGAGAGAGAGATATGGATGGATGTTTGGTCACTTATACAGGTTTGCCAGGGACAACGGTCATTATTCAGAAACATTATTCTATGTTAGGTTTCTGTTATATGGTTTTCATGAATTAACATCTTATAGAAGTGTTTTGGCTTGGGAAAAACATCCTGAATAGTCAATTACCCTTTACACAACAATAGCCAGATCAGTACTGTAAATCAATGCCATCAATTGCTGTAATAGTTGCAATTATAGATGCTCTTTGTGGTAGCCTAATTTGTGCCATTAGAAAAGCTAAAGCTCTCATTTGAAAATTTTAATATTTAAAGTATCCCCCATCCTGTCTGTGAACCACTCAATCATATTGATTGTGAAACATCTGAGAGGATCTTCACAGATTTTCTTTTCAGCACTTGCCTGTGTAATATTGAGGCACAGGCTGTGAGAGAGAAAAAAAAAAACATCAAATTTTCTGAACAACTGTTTCTAACTTTATCGACAGTTCTGTGGTTACCCGTGTACAATTTCCAAATGATATGACTTCATATAGAGGTAGAATTGCCTCACGTTTCAACTGCAACTTCTACTTCTGTTTGTTGCGTTCTCCCTGGCCGTATGAGGGACGCCAGCGAGCTGCCGCTGCTATATAGCTCTCTAAAAATAGCTCACCTTTCACTGCCTTCTACGTCCCGATTGACAAGCGTCCTGAGCCAATCAAGCTATAATATTCAAATTGTACTCCTCCTATTTGTCTATTTTAGCACCGCCTTCATTAGACGCCTGTGAGATCATCAACCCTATTTACCGTATATGGTCACGCACGGAATTGATTGACAACAAACCACGCCCCCTCTAGTTCCCTTGGCTTCCTCTCGCTCGCGAGACAGCGAGCCCAGCAACTTGCCTTGGTGATCCACGGCATTCAAGATAAAGGCTACCTGGAATTTATAGCGCAAAAGAGACAGAGGCAATGCGGAAATAGGTGGACAGTCCATGTCACCGATCTTGCATCCCACTCCCAGGCTGAGGATCTGAGAGGTCGCGGGGATTGCAATTAAGTGACAAGAATTATTTTTTATTTTGTCCTTCCTTTTCGTCATAGCGCTTAAATTACCAGCTTTAAACTACACTTCACTGAGGATTTGAAACATTCTTTTTGCGTTTTGCAGTGGGCTAAGAAGAAAAAATATACCAGAGGATCAAGCAACACTTTTTTTCTTCTTCTTGTGAGCATCAACATGGACGTGTTGGCAAATTACAGTATTTTTCAGGAACTTCAGCTGGTGCACGACACGGGCTACTTCTCGGCGATGCCATCGCTGGAGGAGAACTGGCAGCAGGTGAGAGTTTGCGCGTAACTATTGGACTGTTAGGTCACATAAATAAGCCGTGCGTATTTGCGCACATGGATCTAATGCAAACATTCACAACTTCACAGTGCGCGCGTATGTCTAATCGCCGTTTCCTTGTACACATTATTACGTGTAGTGGTTTATATTGATGACGATGTTTTGCTGCTTTCAAAGCATGGCTAGAACTCCGGTCTTTTTATTTATCCGAGCGAAAGGGATTATTATTAGTTAGAAGAATAATCTAGAATATGATTTAAAGAATGAGACACACATTTACTACACTTCTCTGTTGTATAGCCTACTCAAAGCAAAACAGATGTCAATGACAGAATAAGACACGAGATGATTCATGTGCACTATAGTCTACTTCTGACTGGAACTGACTGAATGGCGATTTGTTAAGGCGCACGTTATGTGGCTAGAGAAAATAAGGGCTTGGTTAACAATAAGCGAATTGTTATTAAATAATGCATTCGTCTGTCAGATAACTTAGTGTTTTTCAGCCCTAAGATATCAAGAGCAGTTCCCGATCGTCATGTATTATGTATTACCTCCGCCGGGAGGGTGCGCGCGTGAGTGGATGTGAGGAGAATGCATCCAAATCACCCACTCCTGAGAGCTGGTGTGCATCTGTATGACAATTTGCTGACTCTTGAAGGGGGGAGGTAATCAATGATAATAGTGGTGTTTTACATTTTTAGGATATTCCACATAAGCCTTGTGAAAAAAGCTGGAGATGATGCACGTGCCATTGGAACATATTCATGTTTTTAAGTGATGAGGTCTTAATAAGATCAATGCAAATCAATTGCTTTGTGTTCTTGGGCAATAATTGTTTTAGCGGCAAATAAAGTAATCATAGCTCTAGGATTTGAAAGTTTTATAAATTAAACCGCAGCAATTTAATGATAAGATTTATGATTTGAGGTTAGAAGGACTTCTGGTAATCGATGTGGCGATGGACGCCTTTGCACGCATGCACTGGCTGTCTTCAGCAGCAGCTCATTGCAATTCCATGTACTCAACTGCAGGGAAATGCTGTGAGTGGTTATTTATTGCTGGTGTGTGAACTTGAAACATATCTACCCCCACCAGCAATTCAACCGGCACGTCTAATAGAAATATAAATATTATCTGGTAGCAAATGCAAATATACAGACGTATTGGCATTAGTATTGAAGGAAAATACGGGTCTGGCAATCTCATCTCAAAGATAACAAAAGAGAAAAAAATATATTGTGCATGAAGGCAGACATGTCTGGTTCATCTGCTAATTCTGGCATTAAGTAACTTAAAGCATCATGGTCAAATCAAATGATAGCATGCATGTGTTGTACACAAGGCATTTATTCCCTATAGTGTTAATTAACGGGTCCAAGCACATATGGAACACAATTTTATATACATCTATGTATATATATATATATATATATATATATATATATATATACATACTACACACACACACACACAATATTATACACTGGCAAAGACAAAGTGAGAGTGAGTATCAGCTTGCATCAGAAGAGAAGGGGGACAACCATATGGAATCAGAAAAAATAAAGTTGATTCTGATGGCAAGAAAATAAGCGTGAAGAGAAAAAGGCCCATCTCTGTAGACAGGCTTTTCTTTTGAGTAACATCATAGTTAAAGTTTGATTCTTTTACAAGTTGGGATGGTTTTAAAGTGTAGCCCTAGATCTGCCAGTGCAAGGTAAACAGCACCCTTTGAGAAGGAGACAAGATGGATAGCTGTGCTCGGTCCCTTGCGAGTGGAGCATGAATCAGACCTTAATGGATGTGATACGGGTGAATTGAGTTTCAGAGCTCAGGCTTCGACCAGGGATGGGGCGCGAGGGTCACGGAGGGGAGAGTGACAGAGGCGATGTGCTCGGGGATGACGAGAGGTTGTCCACCGAACGTGATGAAGTCCTGACGTGCACTGCATCTATTCCTCATGAGGAACGCAGACTGCTGGCACTGTCTCCCCCAACTTGAACAAAGACTCTATCTCTCACTGTCAAGAAGAGACACAGAAGAGAGAGAAAAAAAACAGAGACACAGAGAGCGGCTTGCTGTAATCACAACTCGCGAACCTTTCTAAGGGTAGAGAAGGGAGTGATTATTTTGGCGATGACCCGCAAGCAAGGTTAATTCAAAGAGCGGCTGTTTGTGCAACAAGAGAGCCCCTGTTGGCTCTACCCCCCCTCCCCAAGCAGTTCCACCCTGTATGACTCTCAGTGCTCATCACTGGAGGCTGCAAGAGCAGGTGGAGTGGCCTGGGGAATGAAGCAGAGGCAGTAAACACCACCATTAGAGGCAGTCAAGGCAGCCTGGCCAATTAGTAAGGATCACCTAAGAGACGATTGGGGGGCTGAGTCTGTTTGTCTGCATCCATCCATCCATCCATCTGTCCTCCATCAGCTAACACACCACGTGGGCCTTTGTTGGTGTGCCCTCCTCTGACAAGAAGGCCTTTTTGTGTGTCACAGCAAAAATGGGTCACTCTCTGTCTCTTTGTCTACACAGTCTGGCAGACCTGTCCTTACAGCACTCTTCTTCTCGTCGTTGAGTGTTTAGTTCAGAAAGTTTCCATTGCCATCTGTAACTCCAAATGGCTTCATTCCAATTTCTGAAGCAGGGTCTAATTGTTGCACACCCATACCAAACCTAGGACTACTACTCTATGTGTTGCACTAATACTCTAAGTGTCTGAACCCATGATACTTGGCTGTCCTGATAATCCCAGCAAAACCTAAGAGCTACTCTTTTTCCCCCTGTTCTATCAATAGCTTTCATGGTAAAGGTTGAGAAAAAGAATCTGAGAAGTGGTGAACTTCTCAAAGCTCACTGGCAGCTGGAGGGCAGACGACTGACCCATACAGACGCATCACAGTCAGTAGAACTGGAACACGTCTGAGCAGGGTCATGTAAACCCCTGAGAGAAGCTGCAGGAAGCAGTCTGAGATGAACGCGGTCCAGCACTCAAACGTTGAGACTGGTCTGTCCCAGAGAACCCCAGTTTGAAAAGATGATGAATATCACTGCATGCATATTCTGTGCTGTGAGTTTTTGCATTTCACAGCCCAGTAGTTTTTCGAACCAAAGGGCTGGATAGTTAGGTCGGTGGATGGGGGTAGAGAAAGAGGCTACAAGATAACATTAAAAATGAATTTCAATTCAGTCAGGCTACGTCAGTGTTCCAGTGGAGGCTCCACACCTGACAGCAGGATCATAACATCCTTGCCCCTACTCTTTCTTGCTAATTCTCCCCTGCAGCCCTTTAGCTTCCATCCATGCTTTTATCACATTCCTTCTCTATCTACATTGAGCTTGCTCCAGCTGAAGGCATTCAAACTTTCTCTGGGCAGTGAACACTGAAATGTGCATTATGTAATACCCTGAGGAACACAGCTGCTTTCTCACAGTGTATCTTCTGACAGCACAGACCTTTTCTGCTCTTTTTCTGCAATTGGTAAAGCTCCAGGACACCAAATTAATGGGCAAACGCATTACCTTGTTGACAACACCATGCTCCCCTGAAGCTGTAGAGTGAGTGGTAACATTGCAATGTCTTCAGAGACTGAGATAATGTAGTAAGATCCTACTTATCTACTGGGAGAGACTTGCCGGTTTAGGCAAAGAAGGATCCTTAGACACCCTCAAAGCTTTGTGCTGCATTTAAGATTCAACAACCTGAGTTTTGTCAGTGGTGATGTCCTCACTTACTGAATTTACTCTGAGGGAAACACCTTGGCATTCAACATCAAACCTGTTCTACTGGCCTCTCTGAAGTGTTAACAGGTCTATCAGTCCATGCTAATGCTCAGTCATGTGTTGAAATATCCCACATCAAGATAAATAAGCTGTCAAAAAGTTATCTTATGATATGCAGCGCATCTGTGGAGGCTTGGCTATTCTGACACATCCCTTCCCCTTCAACAGTTTTGACCTCAGTGGCCCTTGCTGAACCAGTCAACAAGCTCCATTAATCTCTGTGTTGGTGGTACATGCTTTTGACCCACAATGGAAAGTGCCTGTCACTCTGTGTGATCCTTTTGCTGAAATAAAGTTTTATAACTTAATTGATCTCGTCAGCTGTTTTGTTTCCACTGGATTATCGACCGGCCCGTATAATAGCAGGGACCGGCGAGCAGACTGCATTCATAAGTCACCACTGTGTTGGTATTAGTATGACATCATAAACCAACCCATTGTTCTGGGCATTTCCTGTATGCTGCCTCTGCCGGTGACTAGACAGGCCAAAATCAAGCACTGTCTGGGTTTAGTATAGACTTTGAATCACTGTCAGGTCATCATCTGAGATTGCAAAAGAGTTGTCTATATTTCTTCCCGCCTACCTATATCTCTCTAATGATTCAGATTGTATGGTGTGCAGTCAAAATGCACTTTAAAATTCTGTGTCAGATGAAAGCAATAATTTGACATTTAAAAAAATGTCATGTCAGTCTTTAGTCAGGTTAAAATCATATTAGTCTGATTTTTGAGAAGTTTTACTAACAGATCTGGATAATACAATTGCAGCAAAGCTTTGTTCCAGCATATATACAAGTTAATCTGACTAAAATTTGCATCTGCTTTGTGCACTTGCTCCAAAGTACCCTTTAAATAATATAGGTTACACATTGTGCCATGTATACTTGGACAGATAGAAACGATTACTATTCGCCTTCACAAAAACCCACTGTAGCTCAAATATAAACAACCTTAGCGACTACTGCAAAAGCGTAGATCCCAGACACAGCAGATCTCTCAGCCCCCAGACAGCTGACAGTAATTAGGCAGTAGTGAGGTGTAGCAGGGGTCTTTCATGTATAGGACTGAACCAGGTTTCCCTTTGAAGTGGGGACCTTTCAGTCACATTCTCCTTTTACGTTTGAGTAAAGTTCATACTAAGCTTTAGCACAGGCAGCTCTGTTCTGATGCAACCTAGCAATTTCATGTTGAATTCCATCTCTTTGTTAAAA